AATGCTGTCAATGAACGTTCCATGTGACCAAGGTACATGTAAGTTGATGTTAAAAGAGTGGTGTAATGTCATGGGAACAGTCACGGTTGCGGGGCATTTGTGTTTGTAAACACACCTGACTTGTTTGGAAATGAGACATCAATTTTCGGCACGATTTTTCTCTTCCACGTCAGAATATTTATCAATTTCCTTTAATCAATATTCAGTTTTACAAAGGATTGTTTTGGGGGTGATTTTCTTAAGAAACCAATGTGCCAAAAATAATTGGAAATTCTATCATTAGACTAATTTTTTCTTTTCAAGGGTTCCGAAAGCGCGCCACGAGGGGTAAACTTTCCGGTTCTAATTTCATCTTGTCATTTATGAAAACTTGGGCTTTTTTTGTTGCAGCATTTGAAAAAATGATCAAACTTGGAACTCAAGAATACAAACTAAAGATCGTAGACACGGCCGGCCAGGATGAGTACTCCATCTTCCCTCAGTCTCTGACCTTCACAATACATGGTTATGTCCTTGTTTATACTGTCACATCGCAAAAAAGGTGATCTTGAATTTATTTGTAAATTTCATAAAAATTTACATTTTTGCTTTGTGTTCTGTCCCTTTCTAACAGGACCACAGGTGCAAATGAATTTCAATGAAACCAATAGAGAGGAGACAATGAGAAGAAATTACAGTTTTAGAGGTGGGAGGAAAAGCCCAGAAGAATATTCTGGGGAAAACCCACGTAATCAGGTAGGGACTGAAAACCCAATCCACAAATTGGCCCAGGTGGGATTCGAACCAAGGTCACAGCGGTGGAAGGCGGGGAAGTACCGCTACGCCAACCTGAATCCCCAAGAGTCACCCATTGTTCAACAGGACCTCTTCCTAACCACCGTCTGATATACATGTATGTGAGCAGTGCAAATTTATGCGACTCCGCACCTGCCAGCCAATTAGAGTCAGCTTTAGAAATTGTGACGTCATCTTGATCAGAAATGTGGACAAAGCTGTTGATTGGTCAATTCAACGGGTTACGGAAAACCCAACAGAAGGTGCCCACTGAATGGTCAGAATCTTGAGGTCAAGACGCAGTCTTGTTTTGCATAATTAATCACCGCATCTGCTCACATATTATAGACTCTTGCTGTGCAAGAGGATATTTCATAGACTACAAATCATGTTGTATACTATTGGAATTTTATACCATGTATTTGAAATTAAATAAGATTCACCATTTATAGAAGTGCAAAGAATCAGCAGACTTGTGGACAACCAGAAAACAAGATTAGATAAAAGAGAACAGGGGAAATTACTTGATGTTTGTGGCAGAATATGAATACATGACTGATTTACAAGTATTTTTCCTTTTCTTCCTCATTCAGTTTTGATGTAGTAAAAATTATATATGAGAAGCTGTTGGATACCACAGGTAATGTCAAGTAAGTAAATGTAGGATGAAGAGAAGATAGACCCATGGGTCTTTCCTGATGCATCGTCTGATAAACAGAGCTGTTAATCAGATTGGGTTTGGTAAAAGTCTTGTGGACTTTCATAGCTGTGCTCCCCTATTCATTTGGGAGGGAATTCTTTGGCTTTTGTGCTTTCGAAACCTATTAGGGCCTAAAGCTTTCAAAAGCAAGTTATGAGAAAATCCAACTCAGGATTGGGTTACTGCTCCTCACTGATGTCTTGTTGAATAGTTAAAATCCAAAATCTCCTACTTATGTATGCAGATGTCTTAATCATTCCACCATCAAGCTTACTGGGGTTAGCCGGTCAGTTTCTGATAGCAGAAACTGCAATCAATAACTACATGTGCATGAAGTATGATGGAATTTTTGAGTTTGAGACATTAAAAAAAAACATATTTTGAATGGCAGAAAGCAAACATTGAAATTATTTTCCCCCTAAGTAATTACATGTATCTAATATTCATTTGATCAGGACACTTGATGTAGAGGCTTTATGAAAGTTATTTAAATTGCTTGGAAAGATCATAGTTTCATGACGACACGAAAAAGCTGTCATACATTGCTCACTTATATAAAACAGTAATTTTTTTTTTCTTCGGTTGAACTTAATGTTTGATAAAAGTTAGCTAGTGTATACTTCCCACGGAAGGAGCACCTTATTAAGGAAACCTCAAGTTCAAAAGTGTTATGTGTAAAATATGCGTTTTTGCATGCGATTGAATGTACATTGTACTCACAAATTACTGACCATTTGACAAAGAGTGAAAGAACTTTTAGCATTGGGAAGAAGGAAAAAAAGATACACAGCATTTTCTGTTACTGTCAGCAATTGTTACTTGGTCCCTTATATTTCATTTTGTTTTTCCTATGATGTTATCTAGTGTTCCCGTTGTTCTTGTTGGCAACAAGAAAGATCTCCATATGGAAAGGTAATGTTTATTGACGATAGTGAGTTAAACTGAGGACCTCTCTGAGTACCTCTATGGGCGAACATTATTGCAATGGTGGTTGCCTCCAGAGGTAAACATGCATGCCTCTGGGGGTAACCATCATTACAATTCGCCCTTTTCACACTTCCGCCATGGCATGCACAACCTCGATCTGGCAACTTTACACAATAAATATAGCCAGTTCAGTGATTCCCGTGTCGGGGTTCAGATCACTGGACCGGCTATTTTTATTGTGTACAGTTGCCAGATCGAGGCTCTGCATGCCCAATGGCGGAGCGTGAAAAGAGCGAATAATGGTCGCCGATAGATGTACTGGAGACAACACCCCCCCCCCTGCCCCCCCCCCCAAAAAAAAACCTTCTTGTTCCGTGGTTGTGGGGACTACATAGGAGTTGTCCCATGGTACTATGGGGACCGAAGCACTGTGGGACAGCAGAAAGTCCCACAACTCGGTCCTAATTACCCTAACAATGAAAAACTTCCCCATAATGTTACAGCCCGCCCACACACACACAACGCACAAATACGTTACACTGCTTCCCAACAGCTTCCCACCAAGGTAGAAAGTAACTTTTTGATATCAAATTCAAGATATCTCAAAATGCATTTCAAGATATCGCAAAATCCATTAAAAAATATCTTGAAATTTAATTCAAGATATCTGGTAATCATTCCTTTTTTTTATGTCAGTTTGAATTAAATACTTTCTCCCTATCACTGTCCAAAATAATGTTGGCCATAATTCATACTTGCAAAATAATTTTCAAAGCTGTGTGTTTGTAACAGGGTTATATCCACCGCAGAAGGGAGGGAATTAGCCAACTCATGGAATGCTAACTTCATTGAGTCTTCAGCAAAGCAGAACGAGGTGAGTAAAGAACCATGTCTAACCGAGTTGAAATGGACATTTGATTTGTTTAGTTATCCAGTTTACTCATGAGATAAGATTGGTCATGAAACATTTGATTGAATGCTGCATATTGTATATCCCCCCCCCCCCACCGATGGACAATGGCCTGGTACCTTCAAACCTTTTGTGCTCAAATTGTTCATCAAACTCCACCTAACGGTAGCTCCCAGACTAATAACACATCCCTGTTACGCTTTATAGGAAGATACACCAAGATATCGGACCTACATGTATTAGCTTATTTGAGGTATGGCTGACACAATAGGAGGGTGCTGTTTGATTTGTTTACAGTCTCTTGTGTTTACTCAAACCAAACAGTGCCCTCCTATTGTGTCCATCATACCTCAAATAGGCTAATTGGCATAGTGGCATGGTTTATCAAATTGTGATTTGAGATATGCTGGACTGACCTGGGTTATCTATAGACCAACACCGCGTTCCCACTTGAATTGGAAAAAGGTGGATCAAGATCCGGCATTTTGGTGTGATCGTTATCTTATCGCGTTCCCCACTTATGCTTGATCCACCTTTTCGTACGGAAATGTTGGGTACGAAAGGTCACTGAGTTCGGAATGGACCGATCCAGTAAGCACCGCCCCATGGTATTCTGACCAATCACAGCCGTGATTTATGTCCGACATGCGTGCACAAAAGTCCGACATGCGTGCGCGCGCGTATGATGCGCGCGGCAGGAAAATGCAGCGTGGCATTGGAGAGGAGCACGTGTTAATTTGCCCACGTGCGCACTGGGCGGGGCTGACTGGATCGGTCCATTACGCGCGCTCTGTGGGAGTGCCATTGTTGCATGGTTGCATGCTAGGCCAGGATGGGTCAGTTTTCAAACAGCACTATCAGAATTTACAGACAAAAATTACGCGAATTCACCAACATAAATCACGGATCCGTAGAGGATCCGTGCGTGCATAAATTAACAGGTGAAATCCAACAGAGCCGCTCATTGTGTGACATGACGGCAGAAACCAATGCATCGATAAGGGATTCCCTGGTTCTGAAGCTTCTCATTGGTTAGAAACGGTCACATGATGTACTACGACATCATTTTCCAATTTTCTATAATCAATACTTCAGATTTGTCACCTCCGTACGTACCGCGTTACCGGCACTATTCTCATCGCATACTCGTAAGCTTTTCCATGATTCTGTGCCAAAGTGAAGTCTTTTGGTGAGTGCGGACTCAGAGTCATTTATGGATGGAAAAATAAGTAAAATTTCAGGAATGAAAAAGGTTTAGTAATGGACGAACACGCAACAAAAATAAGGCCTATAGTGTAGTTTTAGGATACCACGTGCGCTTTTGCATGCGCGGTGCTAGCCCGTAGTTCAGCGGTTGTTTATTGTGCATGTTGTATACGCTGGAAATGTTCACATGAGCTACACGCCTGAAAACGTGTTTCTTCGTTCATGAGACCGCATTATTTTCGCGCCACTCGTGCACTGGGCGGATGTTAACAGGTCAAATTGCCGGATCAGATCCACCTTTTGCGTTCCCACCTGATCGTGATCCGGCAATTGCCGGATCTGATCCACCAATTGGGGGATCTGTATCCTGGTCCAGAGGTGGATCAGAAAAGGTGGATCTGATCCTGATCCACCTTATAACGGTTAGCGTTCCCACTACACACAATTGCCGGATCTGATCCACCAATTGGGGGATCTGATCCGGCAATTTGGCAAAAGGTGGATCAGATCCACCAATTGGTGGATCAAGTGGGAACGGGGTCCAAGATGCATTGCCGATTATCTTGCAGTTTGTTGACACATATCACAGATCTAAATAAATTGTTCTTTAAACTACTCAGGAAGCTGTTGGGAAGCTCACATATAAAATCCACCGTTGATCCGTGACCCAAAACGGTGCTAAAATGACGATTTTAAGTTCAGGTTTTTTCCGTTTCGGCGCTAAAAATACCGAGTGAAGAATTACGTCATTATTTTCCAACGACCAATCAGCGAGGCCCTTCTATCGTGGTGCGGTGAATGGACCAATAGCGGGCGCTGTAAGTAAGAGCATGCGCATGCGCGGTAAGCACTACTAGACAGCAAGATGGCGGCCGCCATGAGTTCCTCGGACGACGGCGATTCGGACGAAACGAAGTGCATTATGCATGTTTCGAATGCCGAATCGAGCGTTTTATCGTTCTCCGAGACAAGCTGGATAAAATTACACGCGCAGAAATCGTGGAAAAAGCGGAGAAGTTCATCGGCATGCACGTGCACCACTGACATGACTGATGCAGCACTCTCGTGGAAGGAGATGTGTACCGGAATCATCGGCCTACGTTAGTTCGTATTATTATTCTTGCCTTGAACCTAATTGTAAGAAGCCGTTGGATTCGGAATATTTCAGAATATTTTTTCTACAACCTAGATTCGTATGATGTGTGATTTGTTTTGTAAAATATGTTACTAGTACTACTAGTAGACCATCTGACCGTCCATTGTTGACATCATGATCATGGCAAGTTAGGAAAAGCCACAGATCAAAGATTTTTTTCCCCCTCACTCAGATGTAGGATTTTAAGACAAGGAAGAGACTCTTATTACATTGCACAACGGAACATTTTATATTGAGTAGGCCTATGCTTCCTGAACTTGGCGACTGTGTATAGAACGGCCGGTTCCCTTGATTTAAAATAAGGAGAACAAAATCCACTTTGACTTTATACTTGGCATCATTGGGGACTGTGTAGTATGTTGTGGGTCTACCATTCAATTAATTTATAATTATCTAAGTACCAAGTCGTTAAAACCAACATTTTGCCATTCTTTAAGCTGTCAGCCCATAGCGTCCTCATTTCAAGTGTACTTTTATTTCCTTGCTATTTTTTTTTCTACATAGTATAATATAATAAAAAATAATGAGAACCTGCCCACTTCTCTTAATGTCAAGCCCTCACTGTCAATATATTTAGATTTTAGATTTTCACTTTTTTTTCCATTTTTAAATTTTTTTCCCTGATCACTACATGTGAAGAATAGTATACAAAAAATAAAATGTTTGTACCTGAAGGTGCCATGGTGTAAATATTTTCCTAAGTTAGATGATAGAATGTTCCATTCTACGAGGTGAAGCTGAGTTGAATGGAACATTTCTCTTTGACCCATAATCCTCCAATCAACTGACAAAGATTTACATTTTGAAATAATTGAAATGAGAGTAATGAGTGATATTGTAAAAACATTTTCTCAATTACAGGCATTTGGATACCATCAACACATTCAGCAGTGCTACAAACGTCTGTCATGTTTCCATGATAGACTGTGCAGAAAGACTTGCAAAGAAACAACAACATGAAAGTCAAGGTATTTTTGCCTTTTTTTTCCTATGGAGTCACATGAGCACACTCACTTGAAAAATATAACATGTCTAAAGCAGGGGCTGGTTGGAGATAGAGCCTTCCTCTACACAACTTTAGTTTGAGTCAAGGTTTCATAATTTTGTAGCTAAATCAAATTGGAAATACTTGCAAACATATACAAGCCCTACTTTAGAATTGACAATCTCTAGGAATTTGTTTCTCGTACAGTTTAAAAAAAAACATTCCATTCATTGCTAATGTTTATTTCTCAAGTTAAAACATGCAGTGCCTGTTAAACAATAAGACAATGCAATTTGCAATTAAAAACTGCTCATTTAAGAAAGGGATTTTTCTCGTAATTTGACAACTTGCAGATACAGCATGTTCCAGATGGGAACTGTGATGGAGTCAATGATGCCGCCAAACAAGGATGCCACGTCCTGAAGTGCTGTCTCCACACAGAAGAGGTTGGAAAGTCATCGGCGATGACATCAGTATCCACTGGATGGATCTTCCCCCTGCCCCAGACAGTGTCATGGAATTTGCCCATTGCTCATGTAAAAAAGTCAATGCACAAAAGGCCAGTGTAGCTGTCTTGAAAAAAACTGCCATGCACAGACTTGTGCAAGTGCACCAACTGTGAAAACATTCCAAGTGAAGGGCAGCGCACTTCACCCAAAAAGGATTCAGATATCGAGGACTGACCATCACGTACATGTACATGTATGTCTATCTAAATAAGGAATAGGATTGTCACTTCAGAAAGTTTGAATCACACAGTCTGCTTCCCATCCACTTAAATATTTCCAAATATGAATCAACAGGACTTATGTTTAACTAACTTACATTGTTATGGATGTACACAACTAAAAAAACACCAAAGTTCAGTCTTACGGTTGAAATGGACACCGTTGACTTTGTTGCAGGATTTTTCCACTTGCAGTTTCAGCAAGGGGATGGGAAATAATCTTACTATGTGTTTTCCTTTTTGACAATCCTTTTTCTTTTTAAGCGCTGACCGTGAAGCCAAAGAAGATTTTTTGTGGTAATTTGTAAGGGCTTAAAAACAGTTTATTCCTCTTCAGTAATGTTCATGCTTACAGTCTTATTTGTTGTTGATCAAATAGACTCTATAAAGACATCCTTGAGAGCTTTCTGTTACTGTAATTCCTATTTTTTTTTTTTAGGGGGGGTGCAAAAGATTGTCCTCCAAGATGCTATGCAAAAGGCCCAAAAGGCTCTAGGTTGATGCCTTCGTGCAAAGAGAAATGTTTCACATTTTATATTAGAGGTATTCACCAATCCTTTTATACATTGTACCATGTTCTCAACAGCAGTTATGGTTTCTTTGAAGGTTGATGACATGTTTCGTGTTCTCCTTCGACCCTTCAAATGATTTGAAAATTATACAACGGAACTCGCTGTAGATAATGGATGTAGTTTCCAGATGCCATTGGATTCGCCATTGAAAATTCATGTCTGTTCACCATTTTTGCAATGACTAACCTTTGTTGAGATGATATGAAGAAAAAAGGGGTGCCAGGTTACAACAGTCTTTCCCGGAACATGTTTAATATGTAAGACAGTTGAAAAATTAAAAGTACATGTAATTGCAGTTTATTTTAATCCTCAAAAATATTGGCTCCACCAGAGACGCAAACCGCAAGCACTGTATTATAATTTTTGCCAATCACAGTAATTATTTCTCAAGTCTTTTTATTTACTGTTTACCGTTTTGTTTTTTGTATGAATAAATATCGTCAAAGGCTGAAGTTATAAAGCCCTGTGGTCATGTTTATTTTTTCATTGAGACTAAATTCATTCGTATTTGTGTCGGACACTATGTTGAATGTTATTACATCATGAATCAGAAATACTTTGTAATTTTAACCAAAAAGAAAATTATACACCACACATGTAATTTAATAATCAATTATACCCTATTAAGAAGATCAGAAAAGAGCAATACATGTACATGTATTCTAAATGAAAATAAAAACAAAAGGAGTAAACATTTGCACTGAGGCTGGGAAAGGGCTTGTAACATCTTCCTTGATTTTCAATGGGATGGAAAATTTGATATTTAAATTAATTATTGGAGCATTAAAAGTCACCCCAAGTTCCTTTTTATTGAGTCTTGGTTCTGTAGAGACCCTTTTTAGCAAGCAACAGCAATAAAACAATCTTTCCCATTGAAAATGTGCACAGTTTTCCCAATCCTGGTCAATAGAGGGCGCCCTGTTTTGAACCGCTGATTAAAATGCAAATATTTAAATGATTGGTCACTTTGGGATTGTGGATTTTGGTTTTTCGTGATCCATATGGTCTCAGCTAATAACCTGCAAAAATTCACTTAGTTCTGAGAGGTGCGCCAAGAAAATCACTTTCTCTAAGCACATTTTGCAGCCATGCCCCGTGGTCTACTATACACTTTGCACAAATGGTGCTTTTCCCAACATGCTGACAAAGGTAACCATGAAAGTGCCTTAATTCAGTGATTTGTGTTCTTGGGTGGGCATTAAGATTAATCTGGCCGAATGGTTGTGCAATTTAATAAGCTTGTCAGAGTAGAAGTGTGCACAACTTGTCCTGTTAACATTATAGTAGTCAAACAAGGGGCAAGATCATGGCACCAATTAACATGTTAAACGTTGAATTGGGAAGGTAGGGTTTAGCAGATCGATGAAGAAACCCCATTTTCATAGATATTTTCTTGGCAACATAATCAGTGTGATCGGACCAAGAAATATTCTCATCAAGAAAAATCCCAAGATACTTATACAAATGAACTTGTTCGATGGGATTTGCACCCGAGAAAAGGCAGGTATCCTTGGACGAGAACCAAATATGAAATTAGTTTTACTCACATTTAGTGTAGGTTTATGGTTCATCAACCAATGAGTTACTGGACAAAGACCATTCACCGTATCAGATTCAATGCCATCAGGGTTTGTGCCTTCAAACTTTATCATGGTGGTGTTGGCATACATGTTCACTTTTGTTCCAGAAATCGATGCTACACATGAATGTGGGATATTAATAAAAGTGATAAAAAGAAGCCAGCCAAGAATTGACCCTTGTGGAATCCCTACATCGGATTAGCAAAACAGAGGTTATGCCATGAACCTTTGTGGCTTGTTTTGTACCTGAAAGTCATACTGGAGTCACCTTGGCCATCTTCCAGCCCTTCAAAGCCATAGCATCTTCGCATGAGCGTCAGGCGTTGTCGGCAATGCATTCGTATGTCACCCCAAGTGGTCCCCTAACTCTCCCTTTCTTACCGTTGAGGAGGTACTTGTGCATGGGGCCCATTGTGCATTGTGGTTCCTTTGTCAATTGCTAAAATATTTCTGGATTTTTTTTTTATTTCAGAGTGTAGTGGACATCTTCAAGACATTATTACAGATTATCGAGAAGAAAGATGGAGGTACACAAAAGAAAGACAACGATTGTGTTCTTCTGTGACCATGTCTTTACAAAAGTACCTCATCTACCAGCAATAAAAGGTGCACTGTCATATTTTTAATCTTGTATTACTACTAGTTGTATCAGTTAAAAAAAACAGCTTTTGACCAATCATGAGCTGTCCTACATTTTTAACTGTTCCAACACTATATTAGAGGCTAGTAGTGAAATGAATTGGGTTTGTATAAATGAAATCGCGTAAATGCTTCATGTAAGAATATAAAAAAAACATAAGAGGCAGCGCACACACTTGAAACAATTGGAGTGAAAGCATCAGCTCCATTTCAAACCTGTGATATGTGATACTTGTGATATTTGAATAGTTCACCTCTACATTAAAACAAAGGTCCAAGGAAATGACGTAATGTTTAACACGGATGTAAATGTACAGTATATGCAGGCCTTCATTGACATGTAATCCAATAATGTAACAGGTCTTCCAAAATAGTCTCAGGCCTGAACAGGCAAAGTAGTGACTCCATCCTAATGAGTGCCCGAATTGCAAAATGGGACCAAGCATTGGTCAGCTTTCACAGTGCATTTTCTTATTTAATTACATACTACTTCTGACTTTGCCCTAAGCACACCCCTGGGCCTGCCTTTTGTTGTGAAATAATAACAACATCATTAATTTTATTCTTTTCTTTACCCTTAAAGGAAAACTTTCGTCTGGAATGCTTCAAATAACAGTTTGAATCCTAAAAAAGTAGAAAATAAACTTTCACACATTGCAAATGTGCAGTTTTCATGTAGTTGTCGCTCAAAGGAATTCATGGGTTTAAGATTTTGCTCCTCAATAATCGAAACTGTTAGAAATGCTAGTCATCACTTGAGTCCCACATGTTCTTTTGAAAACGTAAATAAATGTATGTGCGCTAGGATCGCCATGATCATAACTCTGAAACTAGAGTGAGACCTGATATTCCACAGAGAAATGTCACACATTTTTGTGGCACCAGCCTTTCGTCAAAAGTTTTGCTCAAAAATGTGATGGCTTCATTTGAATTCACTTCTGGAAATGGGTATAGACAAAGCAAAACTCGATGCCCATCAGAATTAAACAAATGGGAGTTTTCCAACATTTTCTTCCTTAGTGTAAGATATTATGCATATTTTCTGCAACCCAGACCTTTGAAATATGTCTTGTAAAGAATGTGACGCAAAATATTGCCAATCTCCAGACGAAAGTGCACCTTTAGAATTACTAATACATATGTGTAGTAATGCTTTAATCACTGTTTTTGAGAAATGTATAACCGATAGAATTGTTGAATAATGAAAGCCGGACGTTTTGCTCCAAAAGGTAACACCATAGCCCGAGAATGATCACCAACAAATACCCAAATTGTTTCTAGGTTTAATTTTGGTGACTTGAGTAGGCAGTTAAGTTCAAAGATTTATATTTTAGCTTTGAATGTTGACGTGCATTGAAAGCAAATGCATATTTATGTTTACATCTCCCATCCAAGAAGTATGTGATTGGCTGTGTATGAACAACTTTGACTCAAAAATGTATCTGTAATTATATTTATGGTAGACTTGGAACATAGGCCTAATTGTTTTGTAATTATTTGGTTTGACGTTTTCCATATTTTGAGGGATGTTGGATGATTTGCTGTTTATTGCTGCATTTCTAACAAAACCTTTTGAAAGTTGAATGCCGTTTAAAAAGAAAAGAGAGAACATAGTCCAGGTTATAAATGGAATTGTTGGAGTAGGTCATGATTATCTCAGATGACGTCGAAAGCGCTACGCACAATAAGAAACTTGAACATTGAATAGTCTGAACTTGTTACGGACATAATACATATTTCATAAGAAGCAATTTCATTTTTTTTTAAGAAATTACACTAGTAAATGTACGATAATAATAGAAGTATAACAATAAACAATGAAGGTTAATCATTGATGACTTATTTCCCTTGAAATTGGCACTTGGTCTCAAGAAAAATGGTACAAATAAAGAAAATGAGGAAATAGTGAATGAGAAATATGGTCTTTCCCACACAAGTATTGTAAGGCTGTGTGTGTCCACATAGTGCAGGACAAGGTGCTATATATGTGGACTTGTGTAACCTGGGGAAAAATGACACGCTGTATGGGGGAACTCGCACTAAATAGACTCTATGGGGATTTTACTAACCAATCTAATTGAAACTCGGGGACTTTGGAAGGAACGGTCGCGAGGAAATTGAATTAATAGAGACCAGAGACAAGATTTTAGATTTCAAATAAACGAAGGACAAACATAATAAAGCTGAAAATCAGGACTTAACTAAAACCAAAATGGAAATTAACTAAGGGAATAAATGTGTGCTCTGGAGGTTTTTATCACTCTGTTAAAGACCACTTAGAGTCTGGGTGCTGATAATTACCCGAGCCGGAGGCGAGGGTAATTATCAGCACCCAGACTCTAAGTGGTCTTAAACAGACTGATAAATACCGACGGAGCACATATTTATTCCCATTCATAAATACCTTTTCGGTAAGAAAAAATCATATAATTCGTTCAAAACATCCCGATTTTGTTCAACAAATTCACTTTATGCTTTTTGAAACATCCCTCTTGCAAAATAATGGAGTGTTCAGCTGGCGAGTAAGATGTAAACAACCCTTTTATGGAGATTGACGCGCGCGTATCATGTTCTGCGCGATGTCGCGCAGAACGCACCTGGCGCGTTGCGTTTTGAATTTAGAACTATAAAATTCTGACTCCCTGGTAGTGTTGCGCATGCCTACGTGAGGATTGTGAGCGTTCAACCAATGAAACGATAAGAGGCACTGGATTTTTAGGAGTCCACATTTTATTGTGACACTGGAAAAGTGTTTAAGACCAGCTAGCCATGTCTTTATCACCCGTTTAAGGCCGGCCACGTGACGGGCTCTCGACCAATAGGAATGGCTAAACTGTCTGAGGTATTTATGAATAAAAATTAAAAGAAAACCAACATGACCAAATTAACACTAAAAACCTAAAATCTAAAATCAAGGACCAAGACTAATATAATACCAACACTGACAGTGTGTAATATAATGGATCATCTAAGACACTTTGGTAGAAAATCTACATAACATAAGTCGTTCATTTTGGTAGGTAGGTCTGTGAGTGGTTGTACCATCACTGGCACTTGTCGGGTGTTATCTCATCCACATTTGCCCCCCCCCCCCCCCCCCCCCTTTGTTTTTTAGGGTCTGGCGCCGACACTGCGTATTATTAGCACGTTCGTACGTATTATTTTGCACATTATTTTGAAAACCGACATGACTATATATATATATGTTTTTTGATTATTCTAGCGCTGGCTCAGCGGCGTA